GGGCCCGAGTATTGAACCACCGATCGCAGAACACGAAGCAATGTGTGTGGATATGGGACCAAGCTAGATGGATGCAATTGTTGCATTCTTGAAAGAAGGAAAGCTACCAGATGACTACAAGGAGGCATACAAGATCAGACTGAAGTCGGCAAGATTCAGTCTAACAGCAGAAGGCCATCTCTACAGAAGATCTTTCACTGGACCCCTTTTAAGGTGTGTACACCCATCAAAAGTTGAAGATTTTTTATATGAAATACGTGAAGGAATTTATGGAAGCCACACTGGAGGCAGATCACTTGCCCATAGGGCCATTACCCAGGGGTATTGGTGGCCCTATATGTAGAAAGATGCAGAGGCCTGTGTCAAGAAGTGCGAAAAATGTCAAAGGTTTGCCTAGATGGATGCAATTGTTGCATTCTTGAAAGAAGGAAAGCTACCAGATGACTACAAGGAGGCATACAAGATCAGACTGAAGTCGGCAAGATTCAGTCTAACAGCAGAAGGCCATCTCTACAGAAGATCTTTCACTGGACCCCTTTTAAGGTGTGTACACCCATCAAAAGTTGAAGATTTTTTATATGAAATACATGAAGGAATTTATGGAAGCCACACTGGAGGCAGATCACTTGCCCATAGGGCCATTACCCAGGGATATTGGTGGCCATATATGCAGAAAGATACAGAGGCCTGTGTCAAGAAGTGCGAAAAATGTCAAAGGTTTGCACCTCTAATACACCAACCAGCAACAGACCTGAACCCAGTATCCAGCCCTTGGCCGTTTGCCCAATGGGGCATGGATCTCGTTGGGCAACTGTCCCAAGCAACTGGACAAATGAAGTACCTGCTGGTAGCAACAGATTACTTCACCAAGTGGATAGAAGCTGAGCCCTTAGCCAAGCTCCGAGATGTAGACGTGAAGAACTTCTTATGGAGGAACATTATCACCAGATTTGGGATTCCAAAAGCAATAGTTGCTGACAATAGAACACAATTTGACAGCAAGCTAATCAAGAACTTCTGTGCAAAGTTCAAGATCAAGAACTAATTTTCAACCCCAAGCTTTCCTCAAGGCAATGGACAAGCAGAAGCATCCAACAAAGTTATCCTAGATGAGATAAAGAAGAGGCTGCAAGCAGCAAAAGGAAAGTGGGTGGATGAACTACCAAGTGTGCTCTAGGCATATTGGACTACGCTGAGAAGATCAACAGGGGAATCCCCCTTTGCCATGGCTTATGGTACAGAAGCTGTTATTCCACTGGAGGTCGGAATCCCTGGGATCAGAACCTAGGGAGTAGAGAACGGGACTAATGACGTACTCTTAGCCCGAGATCTGGACTTGCTAGAAGAAAGAATGGAGAAAGCTACAATTCAGCTCACAGTCTACCAGCAACAGCTTGCCAGAGCTTATAATAAAAGAGTCAACCCAAGGGACTTCCAAGTCGGTGACCTAGTCTTGAGAAAAGTCGTCGGCAACAAGAAGGATCCCAGGGAGGGCAAGCTTGGCCCAAACTGGGAAGGACCCTACAGAATCACTTCGGTATTGGGCAATGGGGCATATCGGCTTGAAGATAGTGAGGGCAAAGAGTTGACAAGACCCTGGAATACTTGTAATCTGAAGTTTTTCTATCATTAGATGTTCCTTGTTGTTTGCCAACGTAATGAATAAAATTCTAACAGAATTCTTCTATACTTGTGACTGATGAAGATACATAACGTTGTTTCTGGAATACATGCATAATGAGACCCCAAGTGGAACTTAGGTTCACATTAGGGGGCAGAGAGAAGAAATGATGTTTAACACTTGTTGAAACTTGAGAAAAGTTTACAAGTTTACAAGTTGAAGTTAAACCGAAATGATGTTTAACACTTGTTGAAACTTGAGAAAAGTTTACAAGTTGAAGTTAAACCGAAATGATGTTGATGTTTAACACTTATTAAAACTTGAGAAAAGTTTACAAGTTGAAGTTAAACCGAGATGATGTTTAACACTTGTTGAAACTTGAGAAAAGTTTACAAGTTGAAGTTAAACCGAAATGATGTTTTACACTTGTTGAAACTTGAGAAAAGTTTACAAGTTGAAGTTAAACCGAAATGATGTTTAACACTTGTTAAAACTTAAGAAAAGTTTACAAGTTAAAGTTAAAACCAAGATGATGTTAAACACTTGTTAAAATTTGAGAAAAATTTACAAGTCAAAACCAAGGGAGTATTAAGCTAAGTACTTATGTACTTGCCGATGTAAACTAAGGTGTTTCAGAACAAGCAGATTGTACAAGACTACGGTACATCTTGAAGACACAAAATCATTCTAAGTATGAAAGTCATACAAGAAGCAATAAAGGGAAGACAAACATACAAACATTCAAGAAAGAAGGAAGTTGTATTCATTAAAAGGCACGTTGGCCATATGAAGAGCTTACATTGTCTCAAAAACAAAGAAGCAAAAGTACAAAAGACAAAGGAAAAATACATAGAATCAAGAGTCTTCAGCATCATTAATAGGCTGGGTCTGTATCTCAGAAGACTACTGAGAGGACATCTCGGCCACCTTCTCGGCCGCAAGCTCAGCATCGATCTCTTGAAGGGTCTTATCAAGGCTCTTGTCGGCGAGAGGCACGTCCAAAGATGACTGCTCAGGGGTAGCTTCCTTGGGGACCTCCTTAACCTCCTCATCTTGAGTCAAGTCTAGGACTTGCTCATTTTGAGGAAGAGACTTGGCCCCAGCAGCGTCTTTTGGCTTCCTCACCAAAACTCAGAGTCGTCGTCGGCGGGTTGGCTTGGAGTTGGGGGGAATGACAGAGGAAGGACATTAGCATTCCTGAGGGGAGAGTCTGCGGGGACATCAAGCCTTTTCAGCAAGGTCATCCAGCCAAGGGTGAAGCCCCTGTTGCATGCCTGCTTCACCTGCTTTTCGTAGTCTGCTGTAACGTCAGCCACCTCCTCAGCATATGCCTTCTCGTCGGCGGCCTTGACTTCGGCCTCTTTGGTGGCCAGGGCGTCTTGATGCTCCTTTTGGGCCTCAGCCATCTTTTTCTCGGCCTCTTTCAGCTGGGCTTGAAGGACTTTGTTTATCGCCTCAGCAGCACCAACCTTTTCTTCGGCATCGTCATTTTCTTTGATAGCAACCTCGGCCTGATCCTCCAGGGTCTTCATCTTTGACTGCAGATTTTTATTAATCTTTTGCAGACTGGAGACCTCCCTCTTTTTCTCGGCCAGCCTCTCCCGGTTCTGGAAAGATTGTACTGAGAAAGAATGAGCATGCTGAATGGCCTGAAGGAAAACAGAAGTTATTAGAAAATATTGTAAGTATGTACTAGAAAGAAAGAAACAAAAATTTTCCTAATAAAGAGACTTACCTGAACAGAGTGCTGGAGCATCAGAGCATAGTTCTCATATTCGCTCACCTCGGCGTTTCGGTCAAGATCACCGGGAAGGAGCAGAACGGTACTAAGGGCGACGGTGACATTAATGTCGTCGGCACTGTCGCTAGCCATAACTGGCTTATCTTCCAGTGTGATTTTGGAGGCCTAGGGGGCATCATGCTTTTGAGACCCCAAGGTCATTGTAGAAGATGACCTCGGCCTTTTTGATCTGATGGATTCGGATGGGTGTGCTTTAGTAGACCTCTTCTCGAGGACAGAGGCAGTCTTCTCACTCTCAGCCAGTTTGGAAATTGGCAAGGTGTCCTCAGTATCAACCTGAGTCACCTTTGCCTTTGGTTGAGCCTTTTTAATTCTTTTTTGCTTTGGTGGAGACTGGGATTGCGTTGGTTGAACATCAACGTCAGAAGGGATGCTGGCTAAGAGGTCTTTTGTAACAGCTTTCTGGAGGCCCATCTCAGAAGAAAAAACTGTTCGTCGCCGACGTTGGCGCTAGGATATTGGGATCAGATAAGGAGCCGAGGTTGACGGCTGCTCGGCTGGACCAGAGGTCGACCCTTGATCTTGCCGAGATATGGAGGTAGTTTGAGGACTTGTGGCAGAAGGAGGAGACAGGCTCTTCTTCTTCTTCTTCTTGGGGACGTCGGGGAGAGCTGACTTATACGTAGGAATGAAATTAAGCAGTAGAGGGGCCTTCCATTTGTGGACTGGCAGATCCAAAAGTTTCTTCAAGTCTTTGTTGGGAAAGAAAGACTGACAGAAGAACTTTGGTGGCTGAGGAAGAGTTGCAGGAAAGGCAGACATTAGAAACAAGTAAAATATTAAAGACTTTAAAAACAAACAAATTAATATAGACACAGGGCTCTTACCATTGCCCTCTACAAAAACTGATCGAGGAAGAGGGTAGAGATGGAGGTCCTCGTCTGGAGCAAATTCTCAGTTCCCCGAGGTAATGAAGTAATCGTCTCCAGCTCCCTTGTTGGAGTCTAGGAGGTCGGCTACGATTTTATATTCTGTGGACCTCGGCTTAAGGTAGTAAATATAGCCCGTGTCTTTTTTGAGGCCACACATAGTGTAGCAGTATTGAATGTCGGCTAAGGTGATCCTAACATTTTCTTGTTTGGCTAAAACAATTATACCGTTTATGACTCGGTAAGAATTGATGGCAAGCTGCATTGGGTTCAACTTATAGTAGTGAATGATCTCGCGAAAAAGGATATTGAGTGGGAGCCGAAGTCCGTACTCGATGAAAGCCACAACAGGAAGGGGAATGGAATCAGTGGTGGGCATGATGGAGTCGTTATCCCCAGCCAACCTCAGATGGACGTTGGCAGGGATGTCAAACTCACGCCTAAAGTGATCTAATTTGCTTGGGGTATCTACCCTATGTTTCCACATACCCATGATATTGGCCTGAATTGGAAGAACTAGGTTTCAGAGTAAAGGTGTTTTAAAAGGATTATTGGGACCTCGGCAAAAACCTAAAGTATGTGCTGGGCAAAAATATGTGGAAATAATTTCAGTTTTTCCTAATAATCGAGGGTTCTACAAGCAAATTCCAAACCTAGATCTATGGAAACGAAGATTGGATGCACAGATCTGGAAAACAGAAAAACAATGATGCGTTTCAGAATCAAGAATGATGATGAAGCCATCAGAAAATCAAGACAAAAAGTTCGCACAGGTGTATCAGGCCAAGAACAGTGGCAGAAATCAACTGGTGTGTGAACAGTGAATATTCAAGAAGATGATTTGGGTAAAAACAGAATCATGAAGCAAACAAGTTCAAATATATGGTGGAATACAAAATGCAAGATGAAATATCAGAAGTATGAATAAGATTGCAAAGACATCAGGTAAAACAGAAAAGTTCAGTAAGGTAACAAGAAACTGAAAACTAGGAGGAATAGTAGCTTACCAGAAAGAAGGAAGGCTGGTGTTGAGTTCGCCGAAGTCAGACGAACGGTAGCAGCGGAGAAGAATAACAAGCGTCTCGCCGGAAGAGGAGAACAACGGTGGTAGCAGAGCTTGAAAGCTTGGAACAATGGAGGAGATGGAAAGCTAGAGAGAGAGAACTTCAGAAACAATGAAAAGTGAAAAGACGGGGGAAAGAAAGAAGTTTTAATAAAACAGAAACGGCGGCAAAAGGGTCATAAATGTGCCTAGAAGAACGTATACGCCAGATGGTGCACGTGAGAAAGATTTGATTTATACACGCGTATCAGGAACGATCTAGTGAGAGAAAGACGCGTGGCTGAAAACGGTTGAGTTGTTATGCATGACAGCTCATGCGCATGAAAGAGCATTTGGAAGTCTTGATCTTTAAAGAAAACATGTCGGCCGAGATAGTGATCTCGGCTAAGACACTTAAGCTGATGTATTTTTGCAAGTACTGATATAGGTTCCATCACCTCAGATTGCTGAGGTAATAGAACCTAGGGGGGCAGTTGTAGGGATATATTTTCTGAGTACCAACAGGTGGCCAAGGTGACGCCGACGTATCAGTCGAGGTGCCACGTGTCCTGGTGGTAATGCCGAGGTGATCTTGGCAAGGCCGAGGTTGCCTCCGAAGATATCGGAATCCGAGATAAGCGGATAAGACACAAGAGTCCTAGAATGGGAGAAGACTTCAGTTTGGGTAAAGATAAGACTCTTAGGGAGTTTATCCTAATCCTATTGGGAGTCCAAGATTAGCAGTAATCCTAAGTCCATTAGAGCTAGGCTTCTATTGGGACTAGGATTGAGTTTGCTATAAAAGAGAGGCACCTCCGTGGGTCTAAGGTACGCAATTGATATTCTGAACAGTGAATTTAGCATTATTGATTATCTTTGAGAGATATACTGACTTGATCGTCGGAGTGCCCCTGGGTGAACGAACCACCGCCAGAATCTTCTCTTTCTGTTGCAGGTCAGTCAGGTGTCATCTATTCTGCCGGTACTCTCCAGCTGAATAACTAAGTTGACAGTGTGATCGAAAATTCACTCACACAATATATATATATATATATATATAAAGTTCAGTAAAAACAAACAACCCATCTAAAAGTAATTTTTAAAAATTGTAACCAAATAGTTTTTTTTTTCCCCTTTCCTCACTCTTTCTAAGCATAAACATATTATATGTTTTTCTCTTTCTTAAAATAAGGAATAAAAAATATCGTTTAATTAATAAAGAAGAATAATAGAGAATATTATTGGAGGAGATGAATCCTAAAATTTAAAAACTTACTTTTTCATCATATTTTAAGGGTGGTTTGGAGATTGCTTATTTAATAATTTTTTGACTTTTTATAAAAAAAAAAAGAAGAAGAAGAAGAAGATGTACAAAAAAGTAATGAGATTATGTAATAACTTGTATCAAATAAGCAAATACACTACTTATTTAGATTGTTGTCAAATCAACCCTTAGAATAAAAATAAGTAAGATTACTATTGGAGATGCCTTAAAATAAAAATAAAATAAAATAAAGTGTGAAATTAGCTTTTTAGATAGTAATTTGTCCTATCCCCGTCAATCTTAAAGGCTTAATCATATAAGGGTGACCTCTGAAGCTACATACTAAGGAGTTGAAACCTCCGAGATTATCCTTATGTGGTGATACACAACAGAGTCACTTAATCATGTTGCGGTAAGTCGTGGACTCACATATGTGCGTAGATTCAAACTCACACTCTTAACATTAGGTACGGTTTCTCACAGGTCTGAAAGGTTTGTCTTACCGACTATGTGTGTTGTCGCTCGAATGATTGACCACAAAGAGAATGGTACTTGAGACCTCAATATTTAAGGAAATTATAGACTATTTCTAAAATACCATATGTTCGTACTCTTAACCAATCATCATTTATTTTGCCATTCATATTCCTTAATTATCCAACACAATATTTCATTTACCCATATTTTTCACCAATCACAATACTATAAAATACCACTTGTCTATACTTTGAAATTATTGAATAATTATCCCAAAATTTATACCTCATGTCCTTATCAAGTTGCCACACTCCCCTTAGCGTATCCCATCAAATCTTATAGATTACTTTTATATTATTTTTTGTTATTGGATTTCTTACTCCATTATTGTAATTATTGATATAACTTTTGTAATAGTTTCATATATAATTATTTTGTGACATTGTCCGTTTTTAACTTTTTTTCTTTTAACTTCAAGTGAAAAAAAAAAAAAAAACTTTTAGATGGTTGTAAAAAAAGATTTGAGTCAGCTTTGAAAAAAATTCTATATAGATAAAATAAGTATTATGAACATTTTTTGTCATTTCTAAACTGGATGGAAGTATTATGAACATCAACTAGTTAAATATACGAATAATATAGATGGAGAAAAAAAAATTAAAAGAATTTCAAATTTTGAAATTTAAAATCTAAATCAGAGATAATTGTATAGGGACAATTTAAAAATGAAAAAAAAAATGGATAAGTCAGACCAAATTAAATTGCACAAAAAAAAATTTCAGATACAACTGCCGAATAAGATCCTTATTCGGCAGCAATGTGTTTCCATCTTGATCCCAAAATGTCTCCCTCCCTAGCTTTCGTTCAATTTCCTCAGAAATTTCACAACATTAGCAAGAATGATATCTACAACTGCCGAATAAGATCCTTATTCACGGTACATACATAGAATGAAAACTTATATTATTCTCTTATTAAAAAAATTTATGTTCAAGGACTTTATGATTATGAGATAATAATAGAAGTGTGGTTTTTTTTTTTTTTTAATAATTGAAAACCAATAATTTTCAGATACTATGGATGGGCTTGAGGGACACGTTTGTCTGGTACATGCTTTTAGATAAAGAGAAATGCCCTCTATGGAAGTCTCATGAAAGAAGGTATGTCGTTAAAGGGATCAAAAATACTGTTGACTCAAAAAAATTGTTTTAGATTTTTATTTATAATATATTTGTGTAGTAGAGATTAAATTAATATAGTGTAAAGTTTAATTATGAAATGAATCTGAGTCATAAATTAAAATTTTGGATAATTTTTTTGAATTTATAATATTCCTGTATGGGATATTTAATAGATAATGGACACTTCGACAGTGCAATTGGATGAAGTGGCCTATTTACATTACATCTACCCAATTGAAAATCAAAGTCTTGAGCCCAACACCTTTCTTCTGGAGGTTCATAATTGAAAAACGTTGGCGTTTTGTGTTTTGTGTTTTTTTTTAATGATAAATTATGGATACATCATACATTGCTATGAGGTTTGCTTAATATGTAAATCCCCCTTATTTGATTAATTACAAATTCTCATCTATTAGAATTTGTCTATTAATAGAGTTAACAAAAAATAAAAAAGTAAAAAATAACTCAATGCACATATGCCTTTTTTTTTTTGTGGTTTGGTTACTGGAAATCTATACTATCTATCTATCTATACTATATATATAAACAAATGTAGTGTAGTATGAGAATTCTCCAAACTCTTAATACTAAATTCTTATGAATTCTCTCTCCTATGTGTCACTTTTCAATTCTCCCCTCCCACTTTTCTTAATTTTTAATCATTTGCCAATTATCTAAATTTCAAAAGCCAAAAGGATTATATATATTTAAATAAAATGATAAATATTTAAATATGAGCAACAAAGAGGTAGAGATAAAAATATAAAATAAATAAAATAAACGATAACTATTCAAATTTCAACTACAAAATAATATAAAGAGTCAAATAAAAGATAAAATAAATAAATAAAAAAAAATATTACGAGTTAATTAATTATAAAAATAAAAAAGTTAACTATTTATATATGAACAATTAAAAAAAATTTAAATAAAAAAATATTTCGAGTCAAATGATTTTTAAAATAAAAAGGTAATTATGTATACATGAATAACAAATAAATATAGATGAAAAAATATACAAAAATAAAAATATAACTATTTAATGAAAATTCAAATAAAAGATAACAAAATATTTAAATAAAAAAAAGAATAAGATTGGATCATTGACGGGTAACCATATCTTGCTTCTTCTCTTTCTCTTTCTCTTTCTAATATATAATCACCGGCGACTAACGACTATCATCGATTGAGATTCACCGACAACCACCGACCGCCGATTTCTTACCTCACCGACGGTAACAAAGATATGTTTCCGACGAAGAAGATGAAGAAGATGAGTAGATCTACTCAGATCTGATGTAGTACATCAAATCTGAGTAGATCTACATCAGATCCGACTAGATCTGAACAAAAAATAGTTGCCGAAGTACAATCCTCTCTCTATATCCGCCCCTTTCCTTCGATCTCTTATTTTTTTTACATTTTCTCTGCTATACACTTCTTTTTTTCTGTTCTAATGGAGAAAATT